CAACTGGCATTAGATTTGCTAGGTGGCTTCACAGAATTTTCTGCCACAATTTACCTGTTCTGACCTCTGTGTGCTGGAATTGCAGGTACAGGTCACCAAGCCTGGCCTGTGTCTAATGAGAATGCAGACATGGTTGGGACAGGTGACTGCACTTTGTGAGTCCCTAAGCTTGTGGATGAGACGCAGACCCTCAAGACACAGAAGTATATAGAATGACCTGGGAGGGCCTCAGACAATGGATGACGAAGACCCACTTTGGGGCACAGTAGAAAGCTGGTTCGTTCTTAGTATGGAGTCATTGGAAATATCTTGGAATGAACTATGTATGACCTAACTTTCAGAGAGGGATCAGAAATATTCCAGAAAGAGGAAACAGCAGGTACAAGTGGCTATGGGAGAGAAGAGGGCAATGTGCACTGAGGAACCAGAGCTTAGGGGACCAGGAGGACTGACTGATGAGGGGTGGCCTGGTGTGAGTCTGATTTAGAGAAGATGGATCTGGGGAAACATGCCTGCTTGGCGCTGTCTGTATTCGGACTTGAGGGCAGTGGGTTTAAAGCTTTTGTGGTGGAGGGAGAGAAGAGAAAGAACAGATAAGATAGTTCTAAGACGTCACCACACATTCCTCCCTCCAGACAATGTTAAACCCGCAAGCTTTTCACTCTCTGTTATCTACGGCAGTCACTGTGGTGTGGGCTCTGTAGAAGTTTGCAGACACGTCTGTCTCCATTGGCATCAGCAGCTTCATGGGGGTGAGCTGGACTCCTACAGCCGAGAGGACTCCTTGGAGGAATATGCACGCTCATTCTTGAGCTCCTTGATGGTAGAGGCATGTAGGAGAAAAGGTCCTCACGGGAGTGTCGCTCAAGCAGCTTTGCCCTTGGGGAGGAATAGGTTCTATACAGCTTGCTCTCATTTCTACCACCATACGCTGGCAAGTCTGCTCTCTGTAAGGAGAGGGTTGCATGCTGCAAGTGCATCTTCCTCCACCTGACTTAAACCTTTTGTGAGCCAGCTCTAAATCTAGAAAGCAATTCTAGTGAAACCATCCAAAAGAGTTAATCATTTCTAAATCACACCACATTTGTTTCCACGGTAAAGGTGTGAAAGAGAAAAGAGAGTTTTCTAGTGTGTGTGTGTGTGTGTGTGGAGGTCAGCATCCATTTGCTGCCTATTTGTGAAAACCTCTTACTTGGCCTCCAGGGCCATGCCCTCCATGCCCCCAGGAGGAAAGCTTGTCTAACTGGACCATGACATCAGTTTGAACAGCTTACTCCCTACAGTATTTGGCTGACTCATTCGGTACTTCCATCTAGCAACAGCAGCAACACCTTGCCTCCATAGTCTTCCACTGATTCATGGCTACCAGCACCTTCACTTCCGTTGCCTGACCTGGTTCTTAAACCCCGTAAGGACTGCTCTGGTGATGGTCGGCAAGAAAAACCTGGATATCTGTGCTTAGGGTCTCAGACACGTAGCCCGTGTCCCTCTAGACTGTTAATTTCCCCACCGATGACTGTGTTCCCAGTTTATTCTCACGGGAATGTAAAAGTGTTTCCATTTGCAAGATGCCCAAGAGAAGTCATTAGCATACGCCCAGGCTTCTCAAATTCTCAGCAACTCTCAGGAAAATTTCTTGCATTTTCAGAAATGTGAAAACATTCTAGAGGAACACAGACATTGTTCAATGTGTGTGCACACATGCACAAACGTGCACGGCTACTAATAATAATTAAGTAGAAACACTCACATTAATTACAAACCATCTTTCTGCAACTGGCCTTAGCTGGTGTTTCTAACTACCTTACTCTGCGTTCTATGTGTCCTCCACCCTCAGACAGCAATTGGGCAGGGTTAGGTTCTTTTTCTGGAGAAATGGACCATATCTTCCTTCCCGAAGGGCCCTTTGTCATCCTGCCTGGGTTAAACTGCTGTTGTTTCTCATTGACTCTAATTGAAGGACATGGTAATAACCAGAGACATCCTAAATGATCTCCTGCACCCCAGAAACAACTTCACTTCCATTGTGGAGAAACAATTAAATCACCCCCTACCCCTCAGCCCCCATCCTGCCAATCTGTATTAGTCACTCCTCCCAATACTATTATTCCTTTTTAAGCTGTTAGTTTAGGAGCATAAGAATCTCAAAGTGGCCAGGAGGAACTCTGAGCTTCCAGTTCAATGAAATGTTTGTTGTGTCTTTAAGCAGGAGCTCTGTCCCTTCTGGAACCCAAACTTCTAGGCCAGCAGAACTTTTGGTAACTGCAAGCAAGAATTTTCCTAGGCCACTAGGGGCGCTAGTGAGTCGAATCAGGTCCCGGCGAATCCTGGCTATGGGAGAAATATGGTGCATTTTCCTTTGATCATGTTACTCCCCTCCTCAGGCCCGGTGCAAAGTCCTTATGCTCTCAGGACCTCAGTCTCCTTCTGTGGCATGTGCAACTTAGCCTGCAGTGTTGGTGACCCCTAGAGGCTGCACAAGGAAGAGGGCAGGTGACTCTGGGTGACCACACGGACAGTCTACCTTCCCCTCTCAGCCTAGAGAGCTGGGACAGAGGTTCTGGGGATTATTTCAGGATGTGCAGGCTAGCGAGTTTGAGGCAGTCCAATGCTAAACCATCCTTTGTACTAAGACTGCCTGTTGCGGGGCATGAAAAAATGAGCCCTACCTTTTCTTTTAAGTGGCTCTCCGATTCCTAACAATCCAAGGATTGTAAGAGAGAACCCCAGGAGCCATTTCGACCATCGGCAGCCCCAGCACTTCAGGGGAGTGTGGGAGAAGCAGCTCCCGCTCCGCGATTCCAGAGTAGGTGCTCAGACAGCTCCCTGATCAGAAGAGTGTTTCCAGCAGGAAACAGCCGAGGAGACAAGACAGGGAAGGGGGGACCAGAGAGGAAAGCTGCCGAGAGGCAGAGTCTGAGCTAGGCATTAGCCAGGCACGGTGAGAAAGGGGGATGGGGAGGCAAAACAGTATATAGTCAGTTGTAACCTGGGGAGGCAAAGGCAAAAAAACAGTCAGTTGAAACCGTGAAAGCAAAAAGCGAAGCTGGGAGTGTAGGGAGAGGGCAGGTAAGGGCTGAGTGAGAAACAGTCTGAGAGAGATTTAGGAGAAGGGTATGGGAAGAGGAAAAAGAGAGAGGACAAACTGGAGAGGGAAAGGGCAGACGTGTGGACGGTCTGGAGAAGGAGGCAGATGACAGCGAGATGGCCAGATGCCACTTGTTCTTTAACTGGTTGTCTTTTTCTACCCTGTGGGGCTGCCAAGGGCCAGGTCATCTGAGAATGCCTCATGATGGGTGACCAGTACAGACTCTGAGGCACAACCTGGAGCCTGGAAGGATCTTAGGGTGCAGAGGGTACTACTGCCTATTTTCCAGGGCTGGGTTTCCTAGCTTTCCAGATTCATTGTTCTTGCAGACTGTTCACACATGAGTGATTTTTTTTCCAATTTAATGCTTTATTTTGGGTTTACCCTGCCTGGAATTGGTGAGCCCAAGAAGCTTTAGCACTTCCTGATGTTAATACTCTCTTTGCTTTGGCTTACAGATACAAAAGGGAATGTTATCCAAACCACTTCAAGATACCAGCTAACCCCTCTCACCTGTATACTTCCTAATCTGAATGCAAATATTGAAAATGATCTAACTCATGATGCACAGCCCATAGCAACACTGGGCAAATTCTCTGCTTCATTTGACTTCTGGGGATGCACATTAAAAAAAGAAAAAGAAAAAGAAAAGGAAAGAAAGAAAGAAAAAAAAGAAAAAACCCTCTACTATTGACTTCTTTAACACTCCCAAAATATTAACCCTTGAAGAGCCTGTGGAGATCACCTGTTCTGTGCCAGGAACAGAGCTGGCATCTTCCTAATAAGCAGTCTTGAAAACTGCAGCCAGAGCCCCCAACTAGATTCAGTCGCCAAACTAGATGACAAGCAGACCTTCTTAAACTTCCTCTGTAGTAGAAGGCAAAGGCTCCTAGAGTCTCTTGATCTTTTCCCCACACAGACACACAATGGCCGGCACACTGCTGGGGCTCCTGGATTTTTATGTGCCTGTCCTGGGGATTCCTAACCTAGGGTTCCTTCTACTGGCCAGAGATCTGTCAGAACAATCATCGTGGCAAGCAAGAACCCTGGCCTTGGAGTCCAGATGTCTAGTCTTTGCTCCAGAGCGATTGTTTGCTAATCTCTTCGGCATTCTTCACTGAACTTCTGAGGCATTATTGTATGATTTCTGAGACTGCTTTGCAGGGCTGTTTCCAGGTGTAGTTCCCCTCCCTCCTCTTCTCTCTCATGTGTGTTTGTCCCTCCCGGGTCTTTCTTTTGTCACACTAGAAGGATAGGTAGATTAGACAAAAGTGAGGTCCCCTTAAGGCCCAAGTCATCCTTTTTCCTACAAGGCTTTAGGAGATGAAGGGAGAGAAAATAGTTCAGCTCCCTTAATTGCATATTTCGTTCTCACATCTGCTCCTAGACGATGGCTTTAAGTCTCATTTATCATACAACCCAGTTAAGTAGGATGGCTAGTTCAGTAGTCCGGATATGGAGACAGGTACCCAACTATGTGTGATGCTGTGTTTACTGGCCAAGGACTGGGTATTTTCTCTGTAATTGAGTGCGCACGTAATGTGACTGAACTATGGAATACACATGTCAGCATTGAGTGAAAGTAAGATTGTGTGGTCTGTGTGGCGTGGGGAATTTCATGTGCCTGCGTGGGTGCAGGCTTTTTTTCTTTTCCTTTTTAAAAATAAGCCACTTTAGATTGTGTCGCCTCCCCTCTCTTCTGTGATTGATTTTGCGAGGCTAATGGTGCGTAAAAGCACTGGTGAGATCTGGGGGCGCCTCCTTGACTGACGTCAGAGAGAGAGTTTAAAAGGGGGAGACCGTGGAGAGCGCGATAGCGGCTGAAGGAGACGCTACCGGAGCCGTCGCTGCTGCTAAGGACCCGCTTCCGCTGACCCACCGCGTTCCAGCTAGGCTGCCTGTGGCCGCGGAGATGCTGTCCTGCCGCCTCCAGTGCGCACTGGCCGCGCTCTGCATCGTCCTGGCCTTGGGCGGTGTCACCGGCGCCCCCTCGGACCCCCGACTCCGTCAGTTTCTGCAGAAGTCTCTGGCCGCTGCCGCAGGAAAACAGGTATGGAAATGCCCGGGACTCGTCTCTCTTGTGAATTCCCCACCTTCCCGAACCCTTAGCTTTGCTGAAGCCCCTGCGACAGGTGTTTGGCTAGCGCTTCTCAGAGTCGCTCAGCCCCTCAGGGAAACTTTCGAAGTGTGGGGTCCCCTCTTACTCTATCCCGACTTGATCAGAGCTGTTGGATCGTCTTACAGGTAAGTTCCTCCCTGGCGTCCAAGAAAATTCACAAACTTGGGTAAGGAGGGACTGGGCTCTATCCCTGGTGCTGCCACGAGGGTTGCTGACCCAGGTCCTGAAGCGCGGTGCTAGTCCACAAAACGAGGCTGGGGCGAGGGAGTCTGCAGTCTGGCGCGGAGGCTTGCCTTTACCTCGGGGATGGGGTAGGGGTGGGGGACCGCAAGAATTCAGGTCCACTCTGTATCTCAGAGAAGGGAAATAGAGCTGCGCAAACGTTTGGCTTTCTATTTATTTATAAAACCACCTTTGTTTTAATCACCTGCGGTTTCTCTGGGTTTTAAGCCTATAGAGACAAAGCAGATTTGGGTTTTTGGAAGGCTCCCCGCCCCCATAATCTAGTGAATACATCAACCATCCGTACCATTGTGAAAACTGGATTTTGAGTGGCTATTATTTTCAAACTACATTTCCCCCTTTCTCCCATTACTCCTTTTGCTCCTCTCTCTGCCCTATCCAGGAACTGGCCAAGTACTTCTTGGCAGAGCTGCTGTCCGAGCCCAACCAGACAGAGAATGATGCCATGGAGCCCGAGGACTTGCCCCAGGCAGCGGAGCAGGATGAAATGAGGCTGGAGCTGCAGAGGTCTGCCAACTCGAACCCAGCCATGGCACCCCGGGAACGCAAGGCGGGCTGCAAGAACTTCTTCTGGAAGACCTTCACATCCTGCTAGCTTTAAGATCGTTGTCTCAGCCAGACCTCTGACCCTCTCTTTAATCCCAATCTCTCTTCCTTAACCTCCATTCCCTCAATGCTCAACTAGACCCTGCATTAGAAATCGAAGACTGTAAATAAAAAATAAAATTATGGTGAAATTATGAAAAAACCCCATGTGTTTGACTTCTTATTGAGTTAATTGTTTTGTTCAAAAATACATGATAAACTTGATGAATGTGTTTTCATAAACACATTCTAGGTATGCATGAAAATGCTCATAAACATGCATTTAAAATTCCCTGTGGTAATAAAGGTTGGATTTTGAAAGATGGGTCACTTAAAACTTACATAACTTCAAATGTCCATACAGTGATGCATGTATCCAAATGATGGCTATTGGGAACAGCTGCCACAAACATCATTTACATATTAAAGACATTTGGAAATAGATGTTGGGTTGTCAGAATGTCTTTGAGAACTTATGGGCAGGCAGACTGATGTATTCAGCTGGGTACTGTGGTGCTGCACAGAATACATGACGTATTTAAATTAGAAAGAAAATGATGAAGAAGAGGTGGAAGGACTTCACTTAAACAGCTAAAATAAACTTTCAGCCTTTAGAATCTGTTTTCAGTTTGTGAACATTCAGCTCTAGAAAAGCCATTGGCTTTATATCTTCTTTGACAGTTCTCTCTGCACCTGAAGAGGGCTAGAAGATCCCCCCCTTTTAAAGGCATGCACCTAGTGTTCACAGGGGAGTTAGTTATCCCTCGTTATAAAATTAAGGCCCAGGAATTCTGTGGGTTGCAGAAAAGTGTCGGGTTCCTCCACCAGATGCTGCAGCGTACTAAAGGTATCCATGCTCAAAACCCTCATCACAGAATAGCGGGAGGAGCCATCTCAAGCCTTTTTGGTCCCGGCAACATAGGAGTCAGATAAAAAGCAAAATCCCAATAATAAATAATCAATAAATTATAACTGTTATTATTATCATTAAACAACAATAGTAAATGAGACTACTCAAGATGAAGATTAGAATATTAATGATTTAACTCATAGAGTACAGAAATAGAGGTCTTTGGAGGGAGGGGATACGCGTTTTAACCCTCACAGCTGCTGGATTAATAAACCAAATATAAAATGAGCATAAATAGAATAGTAAAACTTACTAAAGGGGCAAATAAAGACCAAAGAGGAATTTCAGATTTTACAGGAAATACGTGAGCTCAGTAAAGCATACTTTGAGTAAGAATGTGTTTTTGTGGCGGCTAATTTCTGAGAAGCTGATCAAAAATGGGAAGAGTAGCCCACTCCCTTTACTGATCTCTATGAGAACAAAGCTCCCTCATCTGTGGTGGGTGTTCAGGACGGCACCAGTGCATGTCCACTTCAAGGCTGTGTCTTTGTTGACATGACAGCCTTATGCATGTCGGCTGCCGATAAACTGCAGAGGAATAGAATCACGCTATTAAGAGAACACAGTGCCACTGTTTCCTGAGCAGTCAATAAGCCACACGGGTACAAGGAGATTTCAAACGTTTGCTATCATCTTTAGCTGTCAGTTTCTAACAGCAGCATGGGCATCAGCAAGAATTACCCAACCATGTGCCTGCACATAAACGGGGCCGTTAACATTTAAATGCCGTTACTTTTTGACAACATAACCTACCTTTGAGCCCTAATACTTTTACCTCCATAAGGAGAATCATGTTGTAAGTAAAGGGGACTCATATCCCTTCCAGTTTTCCCTGACATTTTAGGCTTTGACCATGACAAAGGTACCTGAGGAATACTGGTCTGGTTCACTTAGAATAATGTATAAGGGATATATGTCATGAGCCAAGGGGGGAACAGTAGGGGAAGGACACAGATTAGAATCCAGAACGGCACATGTGAAATTGCCATAATGAAAACCATTACTTTCTGTGCCAACCTAGAAGTTCGGAAGAAAGAAAAGTGCATAAAAGATATGATCATTCTACCTCTCTGCATTTGAACATACAGAGGCCCATGCCTTTTACTTCCCAAGCTTCTCCTAGGTTGGATTCTCTGGACAATCCCCCGAGGGCTGGCTGCATCTCATTCGCAAGGCGCCTCTCAGGAGCTTCCATCTCCTCTGACTCAGGCTTCGGCATTCTTGAATGACCTGCTGTCTCTTCCAGGGAGTGAGCTTGAGTAAACACTGTTATTTTCTAGATCTTAGTGTCCCGATCTGAGAGAGGAGTGCAAGTCTGTGGACCCATACCTCACCCCCGGCATGGTGAGGCTTTGTTTGATCAGCATTTTAAAGTTCTTAGGACCAGATGAGCCCTGGCTTCTGTTCGATGCTAGGGTTAAGCTTCTTTTGGGATGGAATGCGTTTTCTAAATGCTGCTAAGACAAGAGTCTGCTTTTTCCTCTTCCCATGAGCAGAACACCTAACACAGCCTTTTAAACCCATTTATATGCTTCTTGCTCTATACAATTCTTGCTTTATTCTGTCAGATGAATGCAGCCTTTCTGATCATTTACCACACTGCTTGCTTATCCTATTCTGCTCTTTGCTACGGTTGCCTGAGTGTGTAGTGGAGAGTAAGCATTCACATATGAACTTCTTTGGGGCAAACACATGTTCAGGCAGTGTCTCATACACTGTTGTTTTTTTTTCATGTATTTTATTTTTAACCATGGGGAGTGTATGTTTGTGTGTGCATGTGCTCGTGAGTGCACAAACACGCATACTTGGGCATTTATGTTGGGGCCTGCAAAGGTCAGAGTTACAGGAAGCTGAGAGTCACCCAGTATGGGTGCTGAGAATCTAACTTGGGTCCTCAGCAATAACAGCAAGTACTCGTGACCCTGATCCATCATCTCTTTAGTCTCTTGTAGGGAGTATGAAGCATCGTAGCTTGTCACTGTTCACTGAAAAAAAAAAAAAAAAAACAATAAACAATCTATGAGCTTCCCTGTCAATGAAGCAAATTTCTACTTTTTAGTTGACAAGACTCTTCTTCAGTGCTTGATTTAGCGTTAGCGATCACTGTATTTGTGGCTGGTGTGACAGCGGAAAGGTACAGAGCATTGCTGGGAGTTTAATATAAGCACTGAAGCACGAGAATTGCAAACCTCCTCGGGTCTAGCTGTCTTTAACCCATCTCATCAAGCCCTCAGCAGGGGCTGATTCATTGCCCACCAATCACGGCTCACGGGCACAGAGAACAGATCATCAGCATTTTCTTTACGTTTGTTTATTGTGACATCAGTGAAGTTCTGTTCTGGATACACACGCAGGTTTGGTTTCTGCTTTCAATTCAACTGAAGATACAACAAGGTCTTTACTCCTCAGGCTAAGCTGTACCACTGATCCCTGTTTTTTAGGGGAGGTCAAGGGGGCTATGGTATCATTCAGCAGCCAAGACTAGACTTCGGCTTCCAACTTCCTGTTTCAGCTCTCTAAGGGATGAAATTATAGATGTGTGCCACCTCGTCCAGCTCGCTCTTTTCATTTATGTGCCTATTAACTGAACAAAACCAGTTATTGAGTAAAGACTCCACGCCAAGTCATTTCCTGGGCATTAGAAGACAGGAGCTGTCAGAGGCATTTCCAAAAGATTGAATGCATGCTAGGCAGCGAGACAGAGAGAAAGAGTGCGCACGCACACACACACACAAACCTCACCTGAATTTGTTCCATGCCTGGCAGGTAATATCCAAAATACATATCACATGACTACCATTTCAAGTTTCTTGCTTGTAGCTCTAAGTGTGCATGATGTAAACACAATCCCGTTTTCTGGAGACATAACTCACGCCTGTCAATCTGAATGCTCAAAATGGGAGGGGGCTGTTATGAAAGGGGTTCTAAGATCAGCCTGCTCACCTTACTTCTTTTACTGAGAGAAGATAGGAATCATTTGGACTCCCTAATAACACAGTAACTTGAGTAAGTAGAGTTTGGGAAAATCCTAGGTTACCCTTGTTATCCCCCCCAAGGTTGTTGACTTGGTTATTTGACCCCAAAGTAGTCTGGCCGTCTCCATAATTGATGGTTTATTAGTCTGCTGCAAATACTTAGGCTTTGTAGTTTCCTTGCATCTTGGAGGGACAAGGAAGTGTTATAGAACAAACATTAGAAAGGAACGATGAAGGCACCGATTAAGGGAGAAAGAAACTCAAGCGTAACACTGCATTAGACTTAGGATGTGAAGAATGACTCTGTCTTGGAATAGAGACAAAGGAGCTGTCCTGGGAGGCAGATGGATCTTTACAATGATCTGGCAGGGCTGGTGAGGTGACCTTCCCAGAATTCTTCATCCACATCTTCACAACTAGGGAACACGTACCTCTCAGTCCTCCCCAGCTCTTTAACAAGCTAGAGGGGATGCTTTAGTTCTGGTGTTTGGATTTTCATTAAAGGGCTTCTGAAAGCTTGGAAGCTGTGCTTGTATAATACGTCTCTAGCCTTCAGTGAGCTGAGGACAGTGATCGGGACGCGCTAATCAGGAATGGCTAAAGGCTGCTGGAGGGGTTTGTGCCGAGTAACAGGAGAGCAGAGGCCACTGGAAACTCCTCTTTCTCTAAGCCAGATTTCTTACTAGTTTTACATAAAGGCTTCCAAGCCTCAATGATTCCATTCCAGATGGAATAAATAAGATATAGGTTTACTGAGGCAGTCTGCCTTTCTATAATATAGGATAACTTGAAACATGCTATAACATTCCTGCTTTGCAGATGAGAAAAATGAATCACAGACTCGGTAACTTGTTTAAGAGACACAGTGCTGGAACCAGAGTGTCTAATTTTTAATCCAATTTTCTTCCCACTGGTTCTTAGGGGAAGGGGTGGAGTTACACAAAACCTGTAACTTGTCTAGTGAATTAGAAACAGCTTGGCTTTAGACAGCCTTGACTCATTTCTCCACACAATACAAAGGAGATTTACTTCTCCATTATTGCTAGAGTAACAGGGGACTTGAGCTCTGGGATTGGGGTTTGGTTTTCTGAATTTGCTAGAAGCGCTGTTTCTCAGGAATTGCTT